GTTCAGTGTTGGAGCTATGGCACTACTTAACTATACCACAACCAAGTATTTAATTGTATTGAGTAGTTTTAATCTTTTAAATCTTTCCTAAGTACTATGCACACTTTGGGTTTCTCACAAAATCTGTATCTCAAGTATATGCTTTTTTAAAAATTATGCAGTTGAAAAATCACAGTAGAAAAAAAAAGTGGAAATACTCTAATTTATTAAAGAGAGAGCATTAATTTAACACTATATGCATTTCTATGTTCATGTTATCTAATAAAACATGTTAATTTTAAAATAAAGGAACTAAGTACCTAAGACACTAACTATAATGTACTAAATAAATGCTCCTATGAGCAAAGAAAAGGTAAAACGAACATTGTACTTGACTGTGGATTGCTGGATGAAGAGGGCTAATTATGAGTGCAGATACACTTAAGTTCAGGTGAGCTAGACAAACCACTACATCACATTCTTGTGGAAACATTAATTACTGATGGCAGAAACTTAAAATATACACAGTATTTTAACCACAAAGCTGGCAGTGACATGCCAACATCTCCAAGCAGTTTGTCGATGCATAATTGATTGCGCCATCAAATCTAGGCCTGAACATGAGTGAAGGGGTTTGCGCACTGGGTGTGCACAGTGTACAAAAATTCCTGCCCCATGCAGTGTGTGATGAAAATGGGTACTCTGTCTTTAACCATGGCTTCCAGACTTGAATCTCTTATTCCACCACAATTAACCAATTAATTGTTAAAATTTACACTAATAGTGAGAATAGTGATTCTGATGTGGAGTTCTATGGGTTTGAGATGAAAGTAAGTGAAGGGAATGTCCATGTAACTGCTCCATACCAAGCCATCCTATAACTCATTCACAGCACAACTGAAGTGCCTAAGAAATTCCATTTTGCCCAGCACCAATTCCTTCCACTAAAAAGGATGTGTATGTGCTTTCAGCACCATGACAACTTTCACATCAGGAAGATACAAGATTCTGTAAGTCTTGTAAGGCACCATTGTGCCTGATACCTTGTTTGGAGGAGTCCCATGCTGCAAGAAATCTAATAGCCTGCAGTGGTTATACATAATGTATACATGTTAGAAGCAGTCAAAATCTAAGCAAGAGAAACGTTGTCAGTTTAGTGTGTGTGTGTCTACCCGCCTAGTTGAGGTTGCAGGGGTTGTTACAGCTCCAGGCCCTGCCTCTTCACTGGCCTCTACTCGGTCACTTCCCGCTCCATGAGCTTTATCATACCTCTTCTTTAAGCTATGTATGGATCCTTCCTCCTCTGCATCACTACCCAGAGCTGTGTCATTACCTGTGACTGAAGAAATACTTCCTGACATCTTTGTGGTTCATCTGAGTCTTCAACTTCCAACTGTGACCCCTTGTTGCTGTGTCCCATCTCTGGAACATGCTGTCTCTGTCCATCTTGTCGATACCTCTCATATTTGTTTGTGTGTGTGTGTTTGTTGTTTGTGTGTGTGTGTGTGTGTGTTTGTGTGTGTGTTGGTGTGTGTGTGTGTGTGTGTGTGTGTCTCACCTGTTAAGTGTTGCGGGGGTGAGTCCGAGTCCTGGCCCTTTGTGTGTGTTGTGTGTGTGTGTGTGTGTGTGTGTGTTAGTTATTCAAAATGGAAGACGAGTAATATAGGAGAGGCCTGGAGACATGATCATTGCACAGAGGAAATGTTCTTTAGTTCCTATAATGTCTAATGTGTTTGTTGGACTTTGTTTTTAAATTGGAATTTGTATTTTATAGGGTAGTTTTGATAGTTCAGTGGCAGTTCTTGTACTCAGTCAATAGCTAAGAATTTGGTCAAATTGAGCATTGCAACTGGCTTAAAATATGACTCAAAGACAGCAAAATTGCTGATGTGTAAAATACACCCAGACCACTAACTTTGAACTTGTATAATTCCATAAGTTTTACATCAAATTTTGCATTTTTGGTGTTTACCTGGAGAGAGTTTCGGGGGTCAACGCCTCCGCGGCCCGGTCTGTGACCAGGCCTCCTGGTGGATCAGCGCCTGATCAACCAGGCTGTTGCTGCTGGCTGCACGCAAACCAACGTACGAGCCACAGCCCGGCTGATCATTACCTTCAGGAAAAGATTCTCTACCGTTAAGAAGAATTTTTTAAATATGGACACTGAGCACTTGTAATTTCAGGGCCTAAGACAGTTTAAAGGTTAAACTTGCTTTTTGTTGGAGTGTCCACAATACAATGTAAATAATATTCACTAGCAGTCATTATGCAGAGGACTAACCCATAACCACAAGCCCTCTAAAAAATTACACTGCATAACATGCTAGATAAGATGGCCAGCTTCTCACTAAATCCACACAAAAAATTTAGGATTTCAGGATCAGTTGGTGTATACACGTATGTATGTAATAAAATTGTGTTGAGGAATTATGTACAGTATAACCTCTAACTGACCCCCATTTAATGGATTTTGGAAATTAGACAAAAAACTGTACGAACAAACTTAAAAATCATTGGACAAAATGGAAATAAGTCCATAATTCCAAATTTTGTCAATAGCCATAGTGTGCGGTTGTCTTCTGACTCAACAGACCTAGTCCAATAAATCCAACATTTGTTCCCTACAAGACAGAGCAATGTCGTCCATGTCAATTTATCTGTGCTCTTTCATGCATAAACTTGTCATTCAGTCTCCACTTTTCTTTGGATTTATGTACTGTATGGTGTTTTGTGTAAAATTTATTAACACTTAAATTAAAGTGCAGTTAACAATGGTTTCTAAGTAAGTGGTGGTGCCAAGAAGAAATGTGTGATTCTCTGGGTTAAGCAGAAACATGAACTAATAAAGAAGGTTGAGTGTGGCATCTCAGTGGCATCAGTATATGAGGAACATTGTGTTAAGAAACAAATAGTGTCTAATATTTACGTCTTCTCAGTCATCTAGATTTTCACTAGTAGAGCTTTACAGCTTCTCTTACTCGAAAGTTATTCTGAGTCACCACTATTGATCACAACAGTTTACACCTCATCTCTCCATCATGTAAAGGTAGGCAGATTTACTGTAAATTACATACTATAAAATTATTATACAGTATTGTAGTGAGCTAAAGATTACAATACCCATGTTCCTAGTGTCTGGTAGTTTTCTGATTCTATGAACCAAGTATGTGATTCACAACTTAGTCCATTTGTTACAATCATGAAAAATTAATTTCATAATTTGGAATCTGTGGACAGTTGGCAATAATGTAAACCCACTTTCCCTATTAGCCCTTACTAGAGTTTCATGTATTCACTCCAGGCTTATTTCTCATTGCCGAGAGAGAAAAAGAGCACTTATGGGTATATTTCAGCAAACACCATTGTAAAAGATTTAAAAAAGTAAAATAGAATCCCATGTAATAGGGCTAATTTTAAAATGAAATCTAGATTTATGAAGGGGAAATCCCCTAAAAAGCTTTTCCGCCACCGTATTTTAACCAAATTTAAATTGCAGGGGCATTATGGGATCAGTACCTAAAAACAAAGGGAGTAAAAGTTTCAGATTGGTGGGGCCAGGCTCAAAAAACTAGTTAAAAGGCTGAAAGCATTGGATATGAAAATTCGCAAGGAAGTCTTTCAAATTTGGCTCTTCTCATTCTATTGTCCTTGTATAATACTTTGGCAATACTGCATTTCTAGTAAACATAAACATGTCATATTTTTCTGGGTTCCTGGTTATGCCAGTGTTTGGGGTGACAAACAAATAAACTTAGCTGGTCATTTGTGACTACCCAATTTTGCATAAGTATTCCTTTCTTGGACTGTTTTTCAGTGATCTCTGAACTCTACAATGGCTGGCAGCAATGGTGGTCTGAGTTGGATTACAATAAATATTTTGTCAAACCATGTTTAGGTTTCTGGCCAACTTCTTCCCACAACTCTTGTTTGGGAGACTGCACTCTCCACATACATATCGCTTCTTCCTTCCACATACATGCATTCCCCTCATTCATGGATACCTCATGGAAGAAACACCTGGCACCACTCAGCAAGGACTGTCAGGCTACACTGTCAGTTATTTTACTGGATTGTCTTGTGCATGACCAGGCAGTATGCAAAATTCACTTTGGACATCTCAATCCACCCCAGCATACTTCCTCTAACTGACCTTGTTGAAAGTCTCACCTTTGATGCAAACACACTGACTTTTCAACAGAAACTTTCTTGTATTAATAATTTTGATTTTATTTTATTTTTTTCACTTTCCCATTATCCTTTCACTAATGCATACCCTTGTATATTCCTTCCCCTCACTCCTTCTTAACCACCACATACTACTCTTGCACATCCCTCCCTGCAGTGCTATATGACCCTTTCAGGTTTAGCGCTAAATGTGATTATTATATTAAGGAAGTTTAGCACCTAATTTTTTTATTATAATAATATTAAGGAAGACTTTCCTAACCCCATAAACTGGAAGAATGAAAAGTCATACCTACTGTATAAATTAAGGCATAAAATCTGTTGAAAGGCTACTAGAAAGCTTTTTTTGTATTACCAGAAAAACAGAGAATTGGATTTAAGAAATAGTAAAATGCTAATAATAATGGAAACTTCAAAACCTTTGATAGACTGAAGATGAAAAACCATGAGCTTAGCTTTGCTCCTGTAACTTTGCATACATAATCTTTCACATATTTACACACTAAAAACACATATAGAAGAGTACAAACAAACTTTGATGACATATGCATATACTCTACCCAAAAACTTTTATTTTTCCTCCCTTTTCTCAGTAGCACAAGTAAATGATTAAAAAATAAATTTGCCCAATTTCATTGTAGGCCTACATGTAATATTAGTATGTATTAGATACACTTTATAACCATTAAATCAAATAGGCTCAAAATCTTCATAAATGTGAATTTTAAAATATACTTTGCAAGGAGGTTATTGAATATAATTGCTTTCAAATATTAAGACTGGATTTCAAGATCTATAATGTATGTGTAATTTTACTTTTTTTTTTAAATCCCCAGACTAGACCAGATACTGGGAAAGCAGGGCTCTAAAGGTAAAGATGTGTACGAGTCCAAGATCAGTCTAGCCTCCAGGATTGTTAAAGTGGAAAGGCAGGTAAGGTTACTTATGTGATGAACCACAAATTATATTGTCCTCTGCAGTGAAGATGAGAAAATTATAGTATGATTTTGGTGTCAGAGTAGATTGTCATACAAGATAATGTCATAGTAGATAGTGCCATATTAAGTTATGTCATAGGATGAGGATTTAGGAAGGGTTGGGTATACGTAAACCAAGTGTTGAAATGGAAGAACATACATCAGTGAACAAGTCTTAGATGAAGGTAAGGGAACTTGGTACCTGAATGGATTTAGAAATGGCATATGTTGGCTAGGTGAGATTGTGGCCAAAAATTTACGAAAAGTTAAGAAGATTACAAAATGCGGTAAAGAGTTTTATTACAGATAGTGAGATTCAAGTTGGGGGTATCAGAGTGAGAGGTTGGGGGATTATTTTTGGATAAGAGTAGGCCCCTTGGACTGGGGACATGTGATGTTTACCATGGTAGTTTAACATATTTATATAAGGAGTTGTAAAAGAGGAGTGCTAAGTGGGATGAAAAGACAAGGAATTTCATACAAAGTGGGAGTTGTCACAGCTCCTCTTTGGTGATGATGCATTTCTTTTGGGATATTCTGAATATATTCAGATATATGAGAGTGAATTTGTCAGCAGACAGTTATGAAAGATGAAGGGAGGGAAGGTGGATAGTGCATTGAGGCATCCTAACCCCTCTAACCCCATCCTAACCCATCCTAACCAGCCTGATAAGAAGGGCAAAAAAACTGTATTATGAGAACAGATTATCCAACTTACGAGGTGATATAAAAAAGACCTGGAAGACCCTATCAGAAATTCTGGGAACAAAAAAGATATCACGAAATAGCAAAATAAAATTAGCAAAATCAGATGAACACCAACTTCCATCCGACAGAAACCAGCAAACAGACTCATGATTTTCTTCTCCACTATAGGGACAGAACCCTTGCCAATAAATCTTCAAGCTCATGTATCCCCACCATATGACTACCTCACTGGCAAGACCCGAACACATGTCTAGCTCCGAAAACCCATACGAAGTCTCCCTTTTTTTCAACACATAAAAAATACAGGCAGGAGATTTTAAATACCTTACCTCTTTATGATACAAAAAAAAGTGTCGCACAAGTTACTATCACCCATTCATTGCAACACTCTTCTAACAAATCATTGAAATCTCCCCTTCCCTACTAGCTCTCAAAATTGCAAGAGGTCACCCCGATCCATTAAGGAGGGAGACCAAACAGAGTTGGAATAACTATAGGCCAATATCCAATTTACCCCCTCTCTCAAAAATCTTCGAAAAATTAATTCACATAAACGAAATCTATCCTACCTCATCTCCCAAAACATTCTCAACCCCTGACTAATTTGGATTCAGGCTCTATAAAAAAAAAAAAAAAAAAAATACTAATGATGCTATTATACCATTGCTAGGGGGGGAACATATTAACTGCATTAGAGAAAAAAAAGAAGTCCCAGGGGGGATCTTCATTGACTTACGTAAAGTTTTGATACAGATTGACCATGACTTGCTCCACATAAAATTGTCACACTATGGTATTTGAAGGGCACTCCCTCAACTACTCAAGTCATACCTCTGCAACAGAAGCCAATATGTGTATTGCAAAATGGGGCAAGCCTTCCGCTCAACCTATTCAAGTTGGTGTCCCACAGGGGAAGTTGTCCTTGGCCCTCTCTTCTCTTTTCTCCTTTTACATAAATGACCTACCAAATGCTTCGCAATTACTCAAACCCACATTTTTTTCAGATGACATACATTCGTCTCTCTCACCCGAGCCCAGTCACGTAGCCAATACTGTAAACACCGAATTACAGAAAATATCTACCGGATGAGGGGCTAAAAAACTTACAAATAAACATTGACAAAAACCCACTTCATTCGTTTGGTAAAAAGAGCTACAGATGTACCTCTTAACATAACGATAAACAGATCACCTATCACAAAGCTAACGAGGGAAAATTCTTAGGAATCCACCTTGATAATAGACTCAAATTTCATACACATATACAACAAATTTCTAAGAAAAAATTTCCAAGACTGTAGGCATTTCTATGAAGATACGGTACTACATTCCACAGTCAGCCCTCCTGGCCCTTTATCACTCTTATTTCCCTATCTCACCTATGGAAATTTGTGCATGGGGCAACAACAATTAACCATCTCTGACCCCTAATTACCCAACAAAAGGCTGCAGTTAGAATGATAACAAATTCTCACTACATGCAGCACACCCACCAATATTCAAAACACTCAACCTACTCACCATACAAAACATCCATACTTATTACTGCACCTATTACATACATAGAACACTTAACTCCGATATTTAAAACCCCCCCCTCAAACAAACTCCTTGCCAACCTCAACAGAACACATGACCATAACACAAGGCACAGATCACTCTTTGATGTTCCTTGTGTCCATCTCACGCTTGCAAAAACTGATGGCACATAAAAGCCCTAAAATCTGGAATCCTTACCTGTAAATAGAAACCCTACCTGTTTATATAAATTCAAGTCTCCTTCTCAAAGAATCACTTACTCACTCAAAACCAAATAAATACTGCGCGCGAGCGACTGAACCTTATAAATTGTATACCAATATTGTTACTCATCAATTTATACTCACACAAATGTTAAAAACCATGACCCAATCTACCTTTGTTATTTTTATTTTAAATACACTAACCTAACAGAATACCCATTTCGACTGAATGTCCAGTGCAATGCATGCAAAACCATATGACCCTTGTCTTTGTAATACTCATATGTGCTTGTAATAGTAATCTGGAGAGAGCGCAATAATGTTGGTTTATGGGGGCACTGATTTCAGGTGGCGTGGCTTAGTTAAGGTCGAAGTTAATTTAAAAAGCCAGCCCGTAATGCTATGCATATAAGTGGCTTTGGCATGCTGCTCTTACCTGTATTTTTTTGTACCTCTGTATGTTATGCTATAAATACTAAATTACTAAATCTGGGAGACAAAGATCTTTAGTGAGCTATAAGGTAAAAAAAAAAAAAAGAAATACAAGATTGATTGCACTTTCTCCTAACACTCCGTACATGCTTGCTAGGTGTGGATTCCAAACTGGTGCTACTACTCCAATATATGGCCCTGACGTACACAGTGGTACAAGGTCACTGAATGATTCCATATCGAATGTTGAAATGCTGTTCATATTTTGCTAGTGCCCACATTTTGCAGCAGTTATTTGGTTAATTGCCTATCAGAGGATGTGCGGGCGAGGGGGGAGTATTATAGGGGGGGGGGGGGGGGGGGGGGCGGTGGGGGGGCGGGGGACGGGGGGGGGGGCGGGGCCGGGGGGGGTGGGGAGAGGTATGGCCGGGGGGGGGGTTGGGGGGGGTCGAGCATAGGAGGGGGTAAGGAATGAAGAGGGTGTTAGGTGGGGATTGAGGGGAGGGAGGGGGGGGTGTAGGGGGTGGGGGGGGGGTGGGGGGGGGAGGGTGGGAGGGGGGGGGTGGGGGGGGGGGGATGGGGGGGGGAGGGGTGATGGGATGGGGGGGGGGGGGTGGGGGGGGTTGATGTGGGGGGGGGTCTGGGTTGGGAGGGGTAGGGGGTGGTGGGTAGGGGGGAATGGGTGGGGGGATGGACAACAAATCTGATAGTAGATGTTAATGATATAGTAGAGAATATAGGGTAGGTTTTGGTGGTTGTTGTGATGGGTATGGGTTTTAGTAGTGGAGGATATTGATATGGGTTGGTGGTGTGTAGGGGATCACTATATGTGGGTGGGGGGGGGGGGGGGGTTTGGGGGGGGGGGGGTAAGGGGGTGTGGGGGAGGAGAGGAGGAGAGATTATGAGTGAGTGGGGAGTTGGATGTTTTTGGGGGTGGGGTTATAAATAAGATGATTGACAGGAATACAATCACTGACATACTACAAATACAAACTTCTATAAGAGTCAGCAGGACAATTCACCAAGGAACTCAGGCTCACACAATAGCCACACCCAAGAGACACCACACAGCATAGTAATGCTCTAGCCAGTGACTGGTTCTGACAAGAGTGTCTCCAACAGTCTCCCCTCAAGGCGTGAGCGAGAGCCAAAGCTTCTCCCAAGCTGCGTCTGCCCACAGCAGCAGCAGACGGCCAGCGAAAGCGTCTCGTGCCCAGAGCGTACGCACACAGCCGAGAGATCTGTCCCAAAATCTCCGCCCTCTAACTGTTTCCTTGAAACATTATAGGGGGGGGGGTGTGGAAGGTTTTTAGAAGTGGGAGGGGGGGGGGGGGAGAGGGGGGGGGGGGGGGGTTATGAGGAGTTATAATATTGGGGGGTGTAAGTAGATGGATGATATTTTTAAAGGGGTAGTTAAGAAGGATGTGAGGTAAAATTGGGGGGGCGCGGGGGGGGGGGGGGGGGGGGGGGAGACGGGAGGGGAGTGTGATTATGTCAATTTACTGGTTGGTTCTTCCTTAGTGACCTCACAAGCACTATATCACACTTTTCCTTGAGTAAGGTTTGTAGTCTCTGGCCCCCTAGACTGTATTCCATCTGCAGTCTTCTTTGACCTTCCTCAGTCTTCATGACTTTGCACTTCAGCCAGTGTGTCAGCCATCACTCTGTTACTTTCATCATATTCTTGCCTTGGCCGCCTCCTGTTCTGTGGTGAGTTATACATCACTGCAATTACCACCTTGGGACCTCCAGACTGGTGTCCTTGCTTTTTCCTCCTCTCACTTCTCTCCAGCTCGTCAAAATCCCATTGGTTTTTGATGAGCAGTGCCACTCCTCTACCCTCCTCTTTCCTCAGGATCTGATATTCTGTTGGAAAGATGGCACCTGTTATCGTTTCTGTGAGCTTGGTTTCAGTGAGAGCTATGATGTCCGGTGATGCCTCTTTGATTCTCTTCTGGCACTCCTCCCAATTATTTGTTATTCCATCAGCGCTGGTGTACCATTCCTTCAGTTTCCTCTCCAACACTGTGTTCTGGGGAGTCTGTGGGGGTGGGGGACCTGCAAGGTGCTGTGG